AAAGAAACACGTCCACGGGAGTCAAGTTCTCTTTCAGATGCTCCCCGGGAGGAAAATACTTAGTTACTGCAGTTAAAGGGTTTCTCAAAACGTGGTCCATGGACCGTCTACGTTGGAAATCACCCGCAAAGCTTGTCAAAAACGGATTCGAGGGCCTAACCCAGCTCTGCTGGATCAGGACGTCAAACTGAAATCGAGCACTTCAGCAGCGGAGCGTCGTTCAGTGAGGGACGACCCCTCACCCGATGTGGTCCTGTGTTTGAGAGGGGGCCGACAGCCAGATGGAAGGTGCCCCCCACCCCAACCCAGAGGGTAAAGTGGGAATCTACTTAGAATTGTTTACCGCGGGTGTAGGGCAAGGTCCCACAGGGTGAGAACAGCCACCACTCAGTGAGGACCCACCGCGCCAGGTGCTCTCCCTGTGTCACCTCAGTGAACCCTCACAACCATGCCGCAAGACCACTATCCTCACCTCCACGTTACCACTGAGGGAAAAGCCCTCACGACACCAAGAGGCCAAGTGCCTTGTTCTGGCCACAGAGCTAGCGAGGGTCGGGGTCAGCCTGCACGGTCCACGCCCTTTCCGTAGTGCCCGGGACCTGACCTAGAAACTTTTCTGGAGGTCGCCAGAAAGAGAGCAAAGCTGAAGGCAGGCACCAGGCCACTTGCGGGGACGGGCAGGACAGCGTGGGGGACCACTAGCTTGGGCACTAGAGGGCTTCACAGCCACATCAACGTGCGAGGGGACTTGTGCGCTTGCCCCCTTTGTTATCTGCGTTCTGCCTGTCCCTGAGACACCCGACTCGTGGCCTCTCTCGCCGTGTGGCCATCCGAAGCACGAACTGTGAATACACATTCATGTCTGGAAAAGCCTAGCAAAACACGACCTCGCTCATTAAACTGCCTTCCCCCTTTTCCTTCCTGCCTTTCCTGAGTTACACAGGCAGAAATACAAATGAAGCCACTGGCGACTGCCAGCCTACCCACCGTGGCTGCCTGCCCCACAGGGGCTGGGTGTGGGCATCCCCCAGCCTGTGCCGCAGTTGTTGCCCCCTCTCACTGGGACATGGTCCCCACACTCCTACCCCTGCTCTCTGCCCGCCCCATCTGGGAAGGCTCACGCCCCGCCCTCCTCTCCAGGGCAGGCCAGAGCCGCTGTTCATTCCCAGCCTGCCACCCTGGGAGCTGGGGTTTCAGGGGATGCATGCTGGCTGTGCTCTCAGATGACCCCCGCCACCTACGAGTGAAATCGACCCCAAAAAAGGAATTCCGAGGGGCTCAGGCACCAGCAGTGCATTCCCCCTATGGTGGTGGGGGGGGGAGGGGCGTTATCCTGCCAAGCACAGCTGATATGGCCTTATGGAGAGATGTCACATGCCACCTCAATGGAGGATTAACGCAGAGAATTTGAGGTCAAGGGTTTAGGCCGAACCAGCTTCTATTTATAAGAGAGTCTCTGGGGGAAACAGAAGAACAGGAGACTGGCTTGGTCTGGGTGTCGGTCGGCAGGATGACACGTCAAGGCAGCAGTCAGCTCTGGGTTACCTAGTCACACTGCTCCCTTTATTTTTTTTTTGTGAGATCAGCCCTGTGCTAACATCTGCCAATCCTCCTCTTTTTGCTGAGGAAGACTGGCCCTGGGCTAACATCCGTGCCCATCTTCCTCCACTTTATATAGGATGCCGCCACAGCATGGCCTGACAAGCAGTGCGTCGGTGCGCACCCGGGATCTGAACTAGCGAACCCCAGGCCACCGCAGCAGAGCGTGTGCACTTAACCGCTCACGCCATAGGGCCAGGCCCACGCTGCTCCCTTTAAAGGGAGGCCCTCTGCTGTGAGCTTTTCCCACCAAAATTTGAGTTCCTTTGTCTCAAGATGGCCCCTGAATATAAACTAAGAAGTACGTGTTGGGGAAGGGGCCTGGCTGTGTGGACATCTGGGGACCATCCTCTGACCCATGGCTGAGGGGCCTCATGTGAGGACAGGTGGAGACAAGCTCTTCAATTCCACAAGGACCAAAACGGTACACATTAAATTACTGAAGTCCAAGGTCTCCGAAAGAGGCAGACGCCCTAATTAATGGAAAGGCCAAACAGACCCTCACTCTTCTCTCATAAACTGCACAGAGAACAAAATAAGTCACCCAGGGACACCTGGTTTGGGGTTCCTGAAACCCAACAGTGCTGCACTACGAGATCCTCTTCTGATGAGCCTAAGAAACCATGGATTTCAACGCCCTAGGGCGTCCAGGCCCATGTTCAGTTCCTCGGGATCAGATCTGCAGGACTGGGGCAAGCCTGTGAGGCACCAGCAGAGGGGGGCCAGCAGGGCAGTCTGTGGCACAGGGGCACCTTGTGGAGGACTACCCTCCCCAACAAGCCAAGAGAACCAGCAAAGCCACACCCTGGCTGTAACATGACAAATTAAATCACATGGAAAACTTTTATTAAAACATTTCAAAATACAACTTTCCAATATGTAAAACTCTGAACAACTGTCCCTTTCCAACCCCCCTGCTAATGACCCAAGCCAGAGCCCTATCATATTCTGGACCCGAAAGACCACCAATTCTTACACGTACTTTTGATGCAAGCCCGTCCCTGTTTGTCAGCAGCTGTCTAGGATATCACAGGCCTAAGAAATAACATATGGCCCGACCTGAAGACACTGCATTACCCACACGTTAATGAGACTGAACTGACGATCTCTAGGCCTTCCTCACAAACACTTGTGGCATTATAGTGCAGTAGCCTGGGTCTACCCAAGGGTTATCTGCACTGTGGGTAACAGACAGAGGGCCAGGCGTGGTTACCAATGTCACTGTCACCTACTGGAGATAAAGGCTGTCTTCTCAATCAACTGCCCACCTCCCCTCCAGAAGAGAAGAAATTAGGTGTGGGACACCAGGGTCCAAGAGCCAAATCGAGAAGATGTGCTGAAGAGGCCGTCCCGGGGCAGCAGAGCCGCCAGGAGCATTCACTGGTCTGTCCTCCAGGCCCCTCGCAGCCACCTGCACTGTAAGCTGCTGCTACCTCTTCTGAAACGCAGTGACGCCCGCACAAGTGTCTCCTTCCCTCCACCCAGTCATAAAGTGGGCACCTTGAGGGTCCTGACACCCGACAGCAAGAAGGACAAGAAGGGGAGAGACCATGCTATGGCCTCAAGAAGGCTGCTGCCGGCACTCGACCTCCTCCCTATGTGGAGGGCCCCAGGTCCGAGGGAGCAGGGGAGACTGGCGGGGGAAGCTGCCTACTCCCTTGATTCATCCACATCTATGCCGGTTACTTCTGATGCCCTCCTTGAAGACATGCACTGCTGGCTGACGGGAGGCTGTGCAGGTTTCTCAGAGCCACAGAAACGAGGCAACCTCTCTCCTTGGCTGTGACCTGAAAAAACCTACATACGTTCTGTATGGAAACAGACCAAACAGTTTAATAGCAGGGAGTAGAAAAAAACAACCAACACGAAATACAAAACAAAACAAGGACGCAAGCATCTCCAGAGTTTTGGTTTCTGCTGTTTCTTTCTGGGTGTGTGTTTCAATGAGAATGTTCACTTTACAGGACGGCTCCAGTGTTGCTCAGCGAAGAGTTGCTGAGAATGCAGCTGGTCACAGGAACAGAAGGGCACACCGACAGCCACTCAGCTTCTCCAGCCACCAAAGCCCTGGACGGACCTGCAAGGAAGCCCGGGAGAGAGGCGGATCAGCTCCTGCTCTGACGAGAAAGGGCTTCAGGGCTCATGCAACTGCCTGTGTTCAAAGTTCAGGACTCTGAATTTCTAAAGTCATGCAATTCTACACAGAAACTAGATTGAGGATCAAAAAATAAGACTTGATAATGGGCCTGGAGCTCGGTGGTCAGCATGAAGCTTCTGAGACACTAACAGGGAAATAAGGCAAAGCATCTCTTAAGTCCTGTCTTCTAGTCTTTGCTCTTTGGAAGGCACATTCTTCTCTCTCTTATGCATGGCCCTTGAGAAGGCTAGGCCTGGCACCTCCTGCCATATTCTTACTGAGATCAGCAAGTCCACACCTGCCACGGAACCCCCACGCTTCCAGGACAAGCTTTTAAAACAGGAAAAATGGATACAAAATGTACAAGACAGCAAAAATCAGGAGTCCATATTTTCACATGTTGTACACTCTTCCATCCTTATTTAATGACTCAAAACTGGAGACAGACACTTACGAGTTAGATGATCCAAAGTTGAATCCTGAAAAAGATGAACAAGGTGAAGTTAAAACACAGACATTTGAAAGACGAAGGTGGACTCCAGGCTACATTCTTTCCCTCCCTTTATTCCCTATGGAAAGCTCTCCTGCCCACCGTCTGCAGGCCGGGCAGGAAGGTGAGTTGTCTTCTTAGTATTTTAGGGTTCTTCCCTCCTCCCCCTGCTGGGGGCAGGCGGAGGGTCTCCGGCATGGCCCCTCTCACTTAGCTGCACTGTGCCACACAGATCCATCTCATTAGGAAAATGTGTTTTTTCTACTTTTCCCATCCAGTTGCTTCCTCTTTTTCTTGAGGCGAGAGAAGCAGGACACTTGCGTTCCACGCCTGGCTCTGCTGCTCACCGTCTGGCCCTTTGGGCAAGCTGGCCTCCTGGAGTTTCTGTGTCTTCATTTGTAAAATAATAACTTGCCTAACTTCTGTGCCTCATAAGTGTGTTGCAAGGATAAAAAGAGAACATACATATTCCACTATCTGAATGTCCACTAAATGAAAGACATTTTGTGAAGTCTCCACATCTTGTTTTCTGAGTCTGTTGGCTTGGATTTTTAAACCAAGGTCTAGCAAGATGGTTATTATTTTGGGTTCTCAAATCTTGAGAGAAAATCAAGTCAGTCATTTATTTGGTAAGCAACGGCACCATGTTACAAGCCTAAATGAAACCTAAAAAGAACACTGTGTCTTTCAACCACTTTCAACTTTTAAAATACTAAACTGAATAGCCAGGTAAAAACCACCCATTTCTTTGGCGTGTGTGTGTGGGGAGAGCATTTACTGAGGAAAAGGCAGGAGGGAACACTGTGAGGGAAGAACGTCTGGCTGCCTACCTCCTCCGCCCGAGCCAAAGCCAGAGAATCCCCCGCTCTGGCTTCCAAACCCAGAAGTCTGTTGGGACAGCGATCCGAAAGTCGGAGCGTTCTGACTTGCAAGGGTGCCAAACGATGTGGTGTTGCTGCTGCTCCCAAACCTGGGTTCCAGGGAGAAAGCAGATTCATTAGCGTGGCCGCGCTGTCACTCTGCTGCCCGAAAGCCTCAATCCACCCTCGTCAGTCTGGGAGGGCACGGCATACAGATATCGAGGTGATGTGCTTGGTTGACTGGTCTAAACTAGCAGCCGCTCAGAAAGAATGGGCCAGAGCCAGAGCAAACCTTCATCTCAGCTTTGGGAAGAAAAATAACAGGAATACAACATGAAATCCAACTTGTCCAGTGTTTCAGTTTTCAGCCACTGGCTGGAAATTGCAGGTCATTTGGATATTAAGCAGCACTACATTTTTTTCTTTTTCTATCTCCAATAAATCTTCAATTCTATTCCGTTATTTTAGCATTTCTCATTTGTCGACAACCCCCGCCCCCCATTTATTTATCTTCAGCTCCTCTCTGGATCTTGATTCTATTTACTGCTCACCACGAGGTAAGGTGTATTCTACACGCACAGATGCCATGGGCCTGCTCTCACTGTACTTTTTCCCCAGAGTGGTCCTGACTGGTCTTGATCTTTTCCTACTCCTGCCTCAGGCCTCTCATAAACCACAGTGGGAAGTCCTCAGATGTCTGTGGGGTCAGAGACCATGGACTTGAAAAAGGGTGATGGGTTCTTCCGGAGATTTCACACCAGAGGTGGTACTTGTTACCCTGTTCGACAAAATGCAACTAACCAGCCAGATGGGATTTATGTGGGAGAGCCCCTCCAAGGCAGAATATAATACTTTTCTACTAGTAAAAAAAAATAGCTGGTTTCAAACAAGTAAATAAAACCTCAAATTCCCAGTCAACCAAAAACCTTCCACCAACTCTGTAGTACTCTGGGCTGGGTGGTCACTGGAGAAATCAGCGTCCATCAAAACTGGCCAAGAATACTGGTTTAAGTTAGGCCCAACTCTCCTCGAAAAGCTTTCCTTAACTTTAATTCTCAGGGTTTCCTGGGGGAAACTTAAAAGACCCATTAGTCTCTACATGAAATCCAAGACACAGTACATCAACTTGCTCACTTTCCTTGAAATTTGCTAGTATTTCTGCACCAGCATCTTTCATGGAGGAGAAAGGGTATGAAAAAGAACATACTTAAGTTTATTGTCAAGATAAAGATGGTATCACCTTGCCAAGACTGCTCCCAAGTACCTTGACAATTCCCAAAAACAAAGCCCCCTTCCCCAAATCTTTTGCTTTCCACATCCAGAGCCAGTGCCGAGGGCCAGGATCTACCAGACGTGGATTTCAGACCTCAACACCTCCTCTGTCAAGACACTCCGCAGTCATCGCCACATGCATTTTACCGTGACTTTGTGGCGTGGTGAAGGCTTTTTTCTCCTTGGGGTTTTGGCAACCAGACTGAACTTCTGGGGTCATTAAAAGCAAATCCCTACTGGGGCATTTTCAAGTGACGACGTGCACGGGCAGCAAGAGCAGCTTTGAAAGCTGAGCAGTCATCGTGACTCTTGCAAGTGTGGGGGCCGGGGTAGTGCCCAGGACAGAGGCTGAATGAAGTAGACGGAATACCCACGCCGGGGGTCTGGAGTGGAGCAGGGCATGCACGAAGTCGTTTACTCAAGGACGATGGGTCTAATGTACAACAATCCCATGAGGAAAGAATCTAGTGAACACTATTCATTCAGAATTTCCTAACAGATGTTACCACACAAGGGGCGAGCTTGGCTCTACGGTAGCCGTGGCAGGGCTATTTTTCGTCCTTTAACCAATCCCTTAGCTCCACCAGGAGAACGGGGGGCTGCCAATCAGTACTCGACATATCAGGGCACAGCAACGTCTACTCACGTAGTCGACAGAGTCTGGCTTGGAAGAAATGAGCCCTCCCCTAGAGAGAATAGGAATTCTAGAATGACCTGTTTGCTGATTTCAAGGGAGGGGCCTTCAGCTCACAGTCAAGAGTAGGGAACTTTCCTTTCAAAACAAGAGTACCAGGCCCCAGTGCCTTCGGCTGGTCTGAGCTTGTGGGTTTCCCTAGGTCCCTCTCCGGGGGGCTTACCCGAATCCTCCTGCGCTGGCAGCTGCAGTACCCTCTCCGAACACTTTGCCTCCCGTCGAGCCCAGAGGGCTTGTAAAGGCTGGGGCTGAACCGAATGCTGGCACCCCTCCAAACCCAGGGGATCCCCCAAAAGTAGGAGGGCTGCCAAACACTGGAGCAGCACCGAAGCCACCTGAGCAAAACAGAGGCAAACAAACAGAAACAGGGAGAAAGAAAGAAGGAGACAGGAAGAGAAGACAATGAGTAGTGAGAAACCAAATCAAAAGAGGAAGGAAAAAAGGGAAAATACGTTAGAAATTCAAATACAAAGAGCTATAACAAAGGGCAACACCCCTTCCATCAGCACAATAACAATTAAAACCAAACACCAAGCCGCCCCCCTCCATTCCTAGCAGAGGGGTCTGGGGTCCACTCGGGAGAGCTCCTTGGAATTCTAAGAACCCAGCAGCCCCCATGTTTGTCTGCGAAATCCCCAGTGCCTCCCAGAGGCAAGCTGGACTCATCAGCTCTATATCTTGTGAAGTCAGATTGCCACCAAGAAGCACCATGGTCATTTTAGGTCCCTTCCCAGCCCGTGTGCAGCTGTGAGACTCCTCATTGAAAAACTGTTCTCAAAAACTCCAACCCCTACCCAGATTTGATTACTTATCACCACCCAGGCAAGGCATCTAGCTTCATGGAAACCCACATGATAAAATTAGAGGCCCCAAGTCCCCTCTCGGGGAGAATCTGTGAACTGGGTTATAGGAGGGATGGGGAGACACCCAGCGCTGGCACTCAGCCAGGGGCTTTTTATTTATTTAAAGCCTAATGGCTCTCATGTCTCTCACCCGTCTCTCTCTTTGTACAGAAAATTTTTTAAAAAAATGCTTTCTCTCTGTAGTCAGGAATTGCTCCTCAATAAACAAGCACACTGAATGTCTTCTCTGGAGGAAGGCTAATGTGTAAATGTGATAAAGCAACCAATCCACTGTGAGGAGAGCCGTCCTAGTCCAGGACTCCTCTGCAGGCCCCCGCACTGCTGCTCATGTGAACACGGGCTGGCGGGCTGCACACTGTTAGGTGACTGCACAGAAAAGGGTCAGGCGTGCCTGAAGCAGCCTCCCTGGATTAGTGAAGATGCCCATCAGGCAGAACGATGGACCATCCTTCCCTGACTATCCCTTCTGCTCCTGAGGAGGCTTCCCAATCCCCAAGATACTGCTGAAATCATTCTAGGCTATCAGCAGAGACCATCAGTGAGTGTCTGTGGGATGGAATGGAACAAAATGGTACAAGAAACGTGCTCTAAAGGAGAGTATTTCTTAAAACGAGTAATGCCTAGGAGCTACGTGCTAAAGGGAATGACAGTGCTACGTGCTAGGAGCTACGTGCTAAAGGGAATGCTTGCCTAGGGACAAGCAAAGGGGCGATCAGCTCAAGGAGACAAGGATGTTATTCTCGCCCCTTTCAGAAAGAGAATCCCGTTGTAGAGGGATAATCAGGCCTCCTTATTATAAGCATGAGCCCACCACAAGCTTCTGCCTGCCACCTGAAGCAGGAAAGATCAAATACCGGGTGTGAAAAGCTGTCAGCTAAATTCTCTAGTTAACTGTTATTTCATTTCATGATGTAATCATTTGCTTATTTACCATTAAAAGTGGTTGCACAACTGAGAAGATACTTTTTGCTAAGGCTCATGTTTGGGTTAACATTCTGTAGTTTAAAACCCTGAGTGAAATCCCAAGCCATGATAATGGAGACTGTTCAGTTACAAATACAACAGAATGGAAAAAAAAAGTGCTAAAAAACCCCTGCTGCTGAATTATTTAAGACCAAACCCAGCTCTAGTTACACTTTCTTCCTAGACACACAGGGCTTTCTCCAGCGCTCCATATTGTTCAGACTTGGTGGTGGAAGGTGAGTGAAACACGAGAAGTCACAATGATACAGAAGGTAAACTGGACAGAGGAGGGAGGAGATTCAACACATACACGCACGCACAATGCCCCCAAACAACAAACCTGGGTCACAGCTAAATGACACAGGAAGAGAAGGGTCACTCTGGTCTTATTTTTGGAGACAAGCAACTCACTCCTGATGCTAGGTGGGGTTCGATTTTATTAGATGCCATCTTTTCATGATTTTCTTCTCCAGAAGAAACAGAAACTTACTAATACTCAATGATAATAAAAGATCTCATTTACTGAGAGCCCTCCACGTGCCAGGTGCCATATAACGGTTTGCTTTAATCCTCCCAATAAACCTGGGATCCCTACTTCACAGGTGAGGAAACTGAGGCTCGGAGGATCCGTCACTTGTCTAAGTTGGGGCAGCTGCTAAGTGGTGGAGCTGGGATTGGAACAAGGTCTGAGTGACTCAAAAGACCACCTATCATCCAACCGTTATGTGTCACGCCACCTCCCTCCACTGCCACTAAGGCCAGCAACTCTAGCAAGAGCAGTGGGGTGAACCCAATGGACCGGGGATGGCAGCAAGGTCATTTTCAGTCTGTCCCCCTCCAATAATCTCCAGCACTGTTCTTTTCTAATGCAATTGTACTGAAGGGAGGATGGACACTTTGGGAATTTTTCAAAGACCCATCAATCTAAAATCCATCCCTCTTAGAGCAGAAAGCGAGAATCCTGACCCTTTAGGCATTTGTACTGCAGCGGCAGGAAGGTTAACTGCTTTACCTAAAGCAGCCCTTCCTTGTGCTCCATACTCTGAGGCGCCTCTTTCTAGGGAAGGAGCTCTTTGAGAACCGACACTGGCTCTGCAGCAGAGACAAAGTTTCAGAAGCACAAAGGAGAGCAGTCTTTCCTCCACCCCCACCTCCCCCTTTTTGCTTAGTGGTTCATTCATCCCATGTATTTGAAAGGTAGCTTTCTCTGTTACAGTCCTGAATCTAGGCGGTTTCATGGGGCAAACAGTCAAATAGGAAAAATATTCTGAAAGGCAGAAGATACATTTTCTCTAAGACAAAAAAATGAGAGCATCAGGTTCTCACATCAATTGGAACGGGACCCCAGGATAGGGAGAACACATAAGAAAAACACATGAGTCAAAGAAAACATTATCAGGTTCCTTAAAAAAATAAATTAAGTCTTGATGATTAACGAACCAAAATTTCTTAGTCAAATAACATTTACCCTGTTAACTAGGACCAAGAACCTTGTAGTCTTTTCCTTTTTAAATCATTCACTGCAGGGAAGGTTGGGGGCAAAACAAAGCTGCAATGCTCATTTCTAGTCCATTTTAAATTCTAGGAAAAGAGTATCAAAAACTAGTATCCAAAGACTAACCCACCCAAGTCACAGGTCTGAGTAAAGGGGCCCAGTGCGTTTGGAAACCATAGCAATTTAGGCTCTAAAAGGCCGAATTCCAGGTACTAATTTGGGACAGTCCTAGGTCAGAGCCACCTATGCATGTGGTCCTCAGGTAGGATCCTTCCTCTGGGATTTGCATAACCTCAAAGTCTCCCATACACTGCTCACTCATGGGAGTTTGGTTTAAAAACTGCTTTCTCAACAAACAACCCCCCACCCCCCGCCATGCCCCCTGCCTTAAAAAAAAAATCTTTTCACACAAGGGTAGGAATGCAGACCCTCTGCAGATCTCTGAGACAGAAATAGGACAGAGAGGTAGTTGACAGAAATGAATTGTTTTTCTATCTAAACATATATTGTTTAAAATTTTTAATTATAAATATAATACATAATTATAAAAAGTCACACAGTTTATAGATGTATGCTTTAAAAGTAATGTTGGGATAAAGAGTAGTGCTGGTAATATTCTCTATTCTTGATTACATGAGTATATTGCAACTGTGAAAATTAACTGAGCAGTACACTACGATATGTGGATACTGTATATGTACATGTAATATATTTATGTATGTTAAACTCAATTAAAAGTAAAAAAAATGTGATTTGGGAAAAAGGGCAAAATGACAGACATAAAAAATTAAACAGATAGTCTGTCTTGCCCATGACGGTAATGAACACCCAAGCAAGTCTGTGACTCAGGATGCTCTCTTGTTTATGTTTCAGTTATCACCTTTTCTTGTGTTCCCTTACTTTGGCTGTTCAGCAATTCCTAAATATTTACAATGTTTTCTTCCCCAGGAAGACTGTAAGTTCTCATAGGCCTGCACTCTGCGCTTTTTAACACGTCTCAGGAGACCTAGAGCAGTGTCAGGAACACAGCAGATGCTCGGTAAATATATAAATAAATTGGGGGGGACGTCACTTCATCTAGATGCCAATCCTACTCCCTTGGGAACCACCCTCGAGAGATCTTCCAGATCTACGCATGTGTAAAATAGACGTATAAAAAAGAACCACAGCTAGTAAGGATAGAAGTACCTGTTTTATTTGGAGCGGAAAACCCGAAGCCTTGGGATGCAACACTTCCTCCTCCAGAGCTAAAAGTGCCGGTAGGTTTCTGCTCTCCAAATGATGAGCTGGCAAATCCACCAAAGGTCTTGGCCCCACTGTTTCCGAATAGGTTAGAGGTATCTGAAGAGATGAAAAACGTGTGTGAGGGAGGTCAGAGGGAGAAAAATGTCCTTATTTACTTCTTAGAATAGAGAAGGATGAAACCTCAGCCAGGTGTTTTGGGAGAAGGGTGTGACAAAGAAGTCTAGGATCCAAGGGGGCAGAGCTGTAGCGCAATGGATACCTTCTCTGACTTGCACCCATCTTGATGACAAGTTCTTAATCATTTTGGTACCCAGACTCAGGATTTCCTGGCATGATCCTACAGGCACAAAATAAAGAGGTAGCAACAGGCCCCAATGAAGAGGGTCCTCTGCAGAAACTCCTCTGTGCTCCCACAGGTATCAGGCCTATCCACCAACAGAGGACCAAGACAGCAGCTCCACAAGAGACTATCTTCTCCTGAAGACTAAGGCTTGTTTTCATCGATCTCCTCACATGCAGACCAACTTCAAATTTTGTCAAACTAGAGAAAATAAAGTTAGAGCAAATCTAAACCAAGCATGATGCTTCCAGCATTCTGCTTTTATAGGCTAGTCAGGCATGCTTGCTGTTGCCTGGTCTGCTCAGAGAATGGCAGATGACACAAGAAAACCCCCACTGCTCCTACCTCTGATCTGACGGGAGCTGGGGATGTTCTCAAGAACATGAAGAGGCCAGCAGGACTCCCAGGCTGACTTCCTCTTTCTAAGGGGTTCAGTTAAGCCCTTGACCTTTTAGATGCTTATCTAACAGGTCACTCCCTCAACCATGCACTGAATCTGCTCCAAGAATTAAAGGAAAAAAGGAAACTTCTAAAAACCAAGATGGGTGAGAGGTGTTTTGTTACAAGAAGTGCAAATCTGACAGGCAATATATAACTAGCCAAAGTCATAGACACAGAAGCAGCCTTGGATAACACCAAGAGCACGCTATGTATCAGCAATTTTTCTTTTACTTTTTTTGGGGGGGAGAGGGAAGCTCACATTTCCCCCCATGTTTGGATGGGCATTTTAGTAAAATGAGTTTGTACCCACAATAAGGCAGGGAAAAGTTATCCTGAAATGGGGTCAATGCCCAAAGACACAGGCATAAATAGGAGGCTGAAATGATAAGCTCTGGGTGGGTAATGATAAGCTCTACGTCACCAAGTGAGAAGTACAGACATCTGTATAAGCCCATCAGGCGCTCAAAGTAAAGGTGGAGAAAGGAGAGCAGTGGAAAGGGAACGACTCTCTCTCAAAGCTGAGCTGTGTGAAGAGGTGGTCCACCCCCTAATCTGTCAATCCCAACGTCTCTCATCTCACTCTGCTGCCAATCCCACCCCAGAGTGAGAGGCAACTCTGTGAATCCTTCCCGTTGCAGTGCTCTTGATCCACAGGCTAGGACATAAGCAGCCTTATCTCAGGGACACCATCACCTCAACTCTCCAGGCACAGAGCCCTGGACTACCACATGGTCACCTGCTCTGTGAAACTAGTGCTGACAGTTCAAGAGCGTGGCTATAGTATGTCACGCACTGACAGCGGGGTGATTTACAGATCCCTTTCCAGCATCCTCACAGACGGTACCACAGGATTATTTATTCCCTGCTGTCCTCTTTGAACAGTCTGATCTTCCCCCTAATGAGCTAGCTGGAGGTTACATCTGGTTCCACCAATGGCAGGACATTTGACACTGGAGACGAAAACAGGCTTCTCAGTCACTCCTTTTACTTGGAATTTCAAGAACAGAGGACTGCAATTTTCTGACTCTGTTAGTGCTAACAATGCAGAATTCCAAATAGCACACAAATCTAAGTGCAAGATTAGGGGCTAGATCTCCTCTTGGAGAAACTCAAAATACAGAGGGGAAATGATTTTACGGGGACAATGTTGGGAGACTTAAATTCCTGAGAAGTCAGAGAACATTTAGAAGTCTTTGGGTTTCTTTATCCCTTTATCTGTTTAAGAATCCTGTCTTTCAGATGTTCATAGCGTATTACAGTGGAACAAGCATGAGTTTTACAGTCAGACCTGGCTTAGAATACCTACAACAACTATGACATTGGGCAAGAACTGAACCTTCCTACGTCCCAGCTTCCTCAAACATAAAAATGGGGACAGCAATTGTGGCCATGCCAGGCTGCTGTAAACACCAAATGAGACAATGTACATAGAGCACCCAGTCAGGCATGTGGTAGATCCTCAGAAAATATAACCTCCCCTCTCTGTCTTTAACTCTTCCTCCTCCCATATCCCAATCACGTTCCGTGTAATAAAACAGAGAGTGGGTGAGCTGTAAAAATTAAATCCTTTTCATTCTGCAAAAATCACAAGAATTAAACCATTCAAGTCGTAAGAGCTGTCATTTGCAGTCTCAAAAGGAACTCTACATGTTGAAACGTTTTAGGATTTATTTAAGCTGCTCTGAAACAAAGTGGCATAAAATGATGTCTGCTTCTCTCTGTTTCTATGGTCAACAACGTGTTTCTCTGTTTTCTCCTAATGGCTCCAAAATAAGTCTCTAGCTCTTGAAAATACGTTAAGTAAGAGAATATCTTGGTGGTTGGAACAATATTTCACTGTAGAGATTCTTCTTCACTTCTGAATAAACTGGCCAGTAAGAAAACCTGTCTTTGCAGAGCCACCAGGCGACTTCCACTTTGGGGGTGACAAGTACAGGGGAAACTGGCATCTGCTCTGGGCTTCCACCCTGCTGGCACAATGTGGATCCTCGCTGGTCTTTTATCTGGCAAAAATACTAGCATAATCTAAGATTAGAGTCTGACCCAACTTAAATTAAATTATACTTGATATACCTTTGATATAAATAACATCACAGAGACCAGGTCCCATGTCATTCTGCAGGTCTAAAGTCACTAAACAAGAATTCAACATGCACTGAGAAGGGGGCTCTCAAGAAGCTCTTATCCAGGACACTTTCCAAGACATTTTCTTAAAGAACAGTTGCAGGCCCAAAAGATCTTTATCAAACGGCTTCTACATCCTCACACGAATACGTCTTTCAGGTCTCTGAACAGAAGGACTGTGCTGGCCGGCTCCGTGGCTTGGCGGTTGAGTGCGCGTGCTCCGCTGCTGGCGGCCTGGGTTCGGATCCCGGGCGCGCACCAACGCGCCGCTTCTCCAGCCATGCTGAGGCCGTGTCCCACACACAGCAACTAGAAGGATGTGCAGCTATGACATACAACTATCTACTGGGGCTTTGGGGGAAAATAAATAAATAAAAATTAAAAAAAAAAAAAAAAAAAAAAGAAAGACTGTGCTGAGAATGCTTCTAACCAGCATCCTCAGGACAAGACTCAGGAGGCAGTAGGTCTTTACAGGTAACTGTGGGGCCGAATTTTAAATGACCCCAGGGGTTAATAGCATATCTTTGCTAGAGTCTCTGGGGAAGAGAGAGAGAAGAAACTTTTACAAAGTGTGAGCCTACGGATACAGAACACGCCAACTCCAGGCAACAGTACTTCCAGCTTGTCTTTCTCGGTCATCACATAGTTCCCATCACTTCTCAGGGCTAAAGAGGGCAGCTTCCAGACCAGGCAGTCTGGGGCCTAAATGTCACAGAGGGAGCTTGTGGTTGGCTCAATGTGTGCTCAGCTATCTATCTGTAAGGGAGCATGTGCAGTGCCATGTGGAAAGAGCACAAGGGCTGTCCAACAAGGCACAGCCGGGAGGAGCACTGCTACACTGCAGGCCAGCAAGACCTCAGGAGGCACCACAGTGGACCAGAGCCAGGAAACATTCTTGGATTAAACCGTGGCTATGTTACTTAATGGCTGTTACCCACCTAAGTCCACATCCCTTCTCTGAACCTATTCCCTTATTGGTAAAACAAGGACGGCCACACCTAAAAGTACTGTCGTAAGAAGTGATTAGACCACATACACTGAGCACCTGGCACACAGGAGGTGATCAAGAAAGGCTAGTTCCCTTCTGCTTGACGTCCTGTGAGGGAACGGAACACAAGGGCTGCAAGAATCCAGAGAGGAGAGAGCACTGTGGGCCACGTGACCCTTAGGCCAAGCTGCACAGAAAAAGAGCCTGACACCGGCCCTTGAAGGAGGGGAGGTTCAGGTGGGTGCAGCACAGGGAGCAGTGTGAGCCCTGCACTGAAGCAGGGGGAAGTGAGAGGTGTGTGTCTGTGTGTGAAGGACAGCAAGCAGACATACTGGTTGAAGCAGAGGGAATGTGTTGGGGGAAGTGAGTCAAAGTCAGAAAAGTGTGTTGGGGCCAGCTCCCTGAATTTCAGCCTAAGGAGTTGGTTTGGACTTTATCCTACAGACAGTAGGATAAAGGGTTTTGAATAGGGACAGTGGCAAAATAAAAGCAGAGTTTTAAGACAATCAATTTTATGGATTTCCAGACCACAGCAGAGGAGACTGGAAGCAGGGAAGGGAGTCTGGAGACCACTGTGAGCACTCAGATGATGATGGGGAACACACCCCACAATCACAGAGAGAAAAGAGAAGAAAATAAGCAACGAAGGAATTGTTTGAGAGGCAGGTAGAGAACCAGCAGAGTCGATCCACAGTCCAGGAAAGAAGTGGGGTTCCAAAGTATCAAATGCTGCAGAGTCACCCAAGGAGCAAGAGGCCGTCCCTGGTGACTTGCAGAAAGCATTCTTACTTAGTTCTGTAGCAACAACAATGCCCTCCCCAGATGACTTCTAGCTCCTTCTTCTCCATTGTTCCTTCCTCTTATCCTGCACTTAGTCCTCAGGGATACAGAGAATTCCTGTCCCTTTCACTATCAAATCATACATTTAGTTTTTAAAAACAAAATAATGTTAAGCCTTTCCTGTACCCTTTCAAATTCACTTAAACATCCTTTAAGCATAAGAGTAAACTGCTAGTTTACAATAGCCAACGTTTAGGAGATGAAGACTAGAAGGTATCTGGTGTTAAGATAGATACGTGTTTATTTTAAACCAGAATTAAAGAATTAGAAACAATGGTGTGCCAGTGAACAACAGGCTGGAGGGAGAGAGTCCTGATTTGTAGTGGTGTAAACAAATATTCCCTGATGTCACTGAACGTGGAGTTGGGGAGACATGTGCACAGCTGGCTCTCGTGAGCCAGTGCAAGCCAGCTCCAGCCCAACATTGAGAGAAGGTGATTCTTGGACAGGTAAGAGCCACGGCATTAGAGATGAAATCAGCCAGGAGAAAAGGAATTTTTACAAGGGTATTATGACACACTGAAGTTTTAACAAAATAGACTAGTAACACAATCTCACAGATGATAACCTACCTATGGGATAAACCCACATTTCTAACTAGCATGTGCCAGATGCTGTGTTTGGCACATTATGTATGATCTAGCTAAGTTCTAGATCTGCCACTTTATGGCTTTGTGAATGAAAACAAAACAAAAAAACAATCATCTAACCACCTTGGGCTTGCTTCCTTACTGGAAAATGGAGAGTGCTATACAAGGATCATGTTTTCAAAGTATGTGCTATGGAGCCCTGCAGTTCTGTGTTGACAGCTGGGGAACAGATGGGGAAACCACCCAGGTGTATCTCTGGTTTTTGACCCCTGCTTCCGAGTACTCTATTTTTATCTGTTTTACATATCAGGATTCTGCTTAAGACTTCATCTGCAGAAACAGTTTCTGAAAACCTCTAGACTCGATTTCAAAGATCTTCTCAGTCTAGGAGTCTAAATTCCTCCTGGCAGACTGAAAGTTGAAGAACAAAGTTTCTGATTATAAAATTTCACAAGTTAAGAGGTATGTGTCTATTGACTATAATCTTTCCTTATATATTACTACTAGATGGATAGCGACATCAAAATATCTGATCTGTGAATCCAGAAGGGAGACTCAGCATGGAGAGCTTTGCTTTTAACCCCATGAGCCTTAATATTAAGGAAATATCTGTCCTGTCTGTAGAACATTAGCTCTCAATTCATTAAGATCTAGCATAGCACAACGGATGAGCGAAGCTTCACGGACAGCATATTAAACGAGAAGCTAAGACGAAGATGACAGGTTCCCAGCTTCTCATCTCAGCCTCCATCAGCAGCAGGATATTTTTTAAAAAGACTTAAACAAACAATTTTCTTTCATTTCAAACCGTGAATAGACAGATCAACAAAGAATTTTAAAAATTAGCTGGAGAAGAAAGTGCCAGCGGAAAGATACAGCTTCATTTGAAAATGAGACAAAAACGTAAGAGATGAGAAATAATGAAGGCTTCAACTTTTGGGTGATATTTCTCTATAGTAGCCGAATTTTAAAGGAAATTCAAAGAGAGTACTGCACAAATGAAAACCCACATGTTCCTCTCCAAGCACACCCAGCTTGTTTTGCTGATCTCATTTATGCTTGTCTGCCTGCATTTATTTCAAGTCATTTCAATCCTAAGAAACAGAGCAATCTGGGCCTTGGGAGAGAAGAGGGGAGCAGCTCAATACCCAGTCCTCTCCCTGCAGCTCTGAAGTCTTTTCACGATTATATGGGACATCTCATTAAAAAACCAAAAATAAAAAACAAAATCAAAACACATCACACTGCTTTGGGGAAGATGTTTTAAGTGGGCCTTCTAGACCTTTTCTTTCCTTTCTACATTTGTCACTGACGCTTTGATAACACCAGGATGATGACACTCGCATTAGGGGACTGAGGGACTTGAAAAACTCTCAACTTACTTGAGGTGGCTGTAGATCCAAAGCCCCCGCTGGCCGAGCTGAATGGGTTTTTGTTGGCTGCATCCTGGCTGGGTTTCCCTCCAAGGCCACTGAAGAAACCTCCTCCTCTTCCAGTGTTTCCAGACCCAAACACGCTACCACTGGAAGAGGATGATGGCTAAAAACAAAAGGGGCAGGAAGCGAGATAGGATGAAAGGTCATCATAAAATAGCAGGCCACATCCGTGGAAAGGAGGCACTCACAGCCGGTACAAATGGAAAAACCAAGAGAACTCGGATTAGTTCTGGTAGCAATGCTCTAACAACCACAAAAGAAGCTGGACTCTGGAGAGGGACTTGCTACAAATCAGACGTTCTCAAACTATTCCACGTTCACAGTTCTCCGAAAATATGCTTTATGGTAGGTGGGAACTTTAAAAAGTTTATCTGCCCTGCTGCCTGCGGTCTCTGCTTGACCCGATGCCAGCGGCCGGAAACCCAACCCCTCAAGAGTTCCCCCGAATGAAAAAGTTTAAAAACATTTCTAGGCTATTATGAGCACCACTTATTTTGATTCCTCTAGTTTTGGCTGAACTCATCAGCAACTGACGATAAGTGATTTACACTGTCTTTTCTCCCAATATGTGCACTTTTATTTCATAATGACTTTCCCAGTACTGCAGAAATAAGCTGAAATTAGCTCCATTGTTGAAATGATGACCATAGCTGAATTCTGTCCAAGTCTGCAAATCTTACATTGAGAGGATGCTGCTAAGTTAGGGAGCATGCTGACTCAAAGCTGTATCAGACATCACACACTTTATTTCTGCTTGGAACTTGGTTCTTCAAGGAAGACCACTGCTAGATTTGAGGGACCATTAATATTAGTTAAGTGTGATAGCTCCCTGGCTGATAATGTAGAACAGGATGGGCTTTTAGAAATGGGTCACTGTGCACAGGACCCTCACAGAAGCCCCCTTCAAAGGGAGGCAGAGTGGTTTAGGAGTCCCTCTTGTGTAAAATGGGGATAACAAACTACCCACCTCAAAATGATGAGTGAATTAAATGAGCTAAGAAACGTAGTGCACTTTAGAATAGTGCCTGAAATATAATTACGTGCTCAAAAAATGGCTGCTGTTCAAGTATTTTAATAACAATAACGAATCATGGGCCGGCCCCGTGGCTCAGTGGTTGAGTACGTGCGCTCCGCTGCTGGCGGCCCGGGTTCGGATCCTGGGCGCGCACCGACGCACCGCTTGTCCGGCCATGCTGAGGCCGCGTCCCACATGCAGCAACTAGAAGGATGTGCAGCTATGACATACAACTATCTACTGGGGCTTTGGGGGAAAATAAAAAAAAAAAAAGAAAAAAAAAGATTAAAAAAAAATAATAAAGAATCAATGATTGAGCACTTTCTATGTGCTAGGCACTTTTCTAAGCACTTGGCAAGTAATTATTTAATCCCCACAAAATTCAAACCTCCAGTGGGCCCCTCTGAAACCTTCCCCCCGTGCGTCCCTCCTCTGCAGGTGCACAGCCGCCACCCTGGCGTGTGCTGCACAACAACTTAGCTGCTGTTCTGCTTCCATGAGAGTCTGTGCTCACAGGGCAGCCAGAACAACGCTTTAAAACAGCAGTCAGATCACTTCACTCCTGTTTAAGAATTCTAAAAGCCCCGACATGACTTGGCCCCTGTCCACCTCCTGACATCATCTTTGATCATCCTCCCCCTCACTGGGTACAGTCACACCAGTCTTTTGTGCCTTGAATACGATAAGCTAATTTTCACCTGAGGGTGATGTACTTAATGTACTTGCTTGTCTCTCTCACTTTTTCTCTCTCTTTTTTTAAAACTTCGTTAAAAACAACAGTAACAATTTACTATAACCAATTAATGATGAGTAACAGCTTTTTAAAACTTGGAATCCAATCCAATCATAAAAGCATAGGTTCCAATAACTAATAAACTGACTCTGAAAGGAAGGAAGACGTGACAAGTAATGCACGCGTGTAGAAAAGATCCGACTTTTTAGCTTACTTCCCTGCACCGGCCTGAAACACAGGAAACTGCCAATATGTGGACATTTTTGCCCTACAAAACCCCACCAATTTCAGATGGTTCAACCTAATTTTAAAACTATGATTTGAAAAATAATGGATATCTGTAGAAATGAACAGAAGTGGATAACACTTCACTGAAGTGAATGTGAACTGGCAGTTACTGAGAATGGTTGCAACCATTCCTCATAAATGGTCAGAGAGAATCCCATTCATTTTAACTGTGATAAATAACAATAGTTTTTAAAACTTCATATTACGGAAAATCTCAAAAGTGTACAGAAAATAGATGGAAGCGTATAACGAACCCTCACGCACCCATCATCCAGCTTCAGTGATTAACACACAGCCAGTTGAGCTTTATCTACACCCTCACTTCCTTCCCTCATCCTTTATTAGTATGAAGCAAATCCCAGACATCTTATCATTTCATCCACTGATTTTCCAGTATAAACCTCTCAAACATAAACCATAACCATAATACCATCATCATGTCTAAAAAATTAACAATAGTCCTTAATGTCATTAAATAGGGAGTTAGTGTTCAAGATCCAGCCTTACAATATTGTCAAAAGAAAAATCAAACCTGAATCTCATTAAGCCTCCAGACCCAAGCACCACTTTGGAGTGGTGAAGTAAAGTGCAACAAATTCACTTGGAAATTCTACCACAAGGATGGAGCCAGCAACCAGACCACAGAGAATCCACAGGACAAATGACCTGCTTTGTCCAACAACCTATTATGAGAATTGTGAGGAAAAATAAAAGAGAGAGAGACATGGAAGGGTAATCTATAGATAAAGACTTAAGAGACCTATCAACCAATCTCAGTGTGTGGACCTGACTTGATCCTCATTCAAAGAAACAAATGTAAAAAGGAGAGAGAGACATTTATGAGATTTCTTCAGCAAGGCATTTCCTGACTCACCTAAATAATCTTCCCTGATTACTATCACATCATTCTCTTAAAATGATGTGAAATTAAACTGTTTTAATAAAGACTGACTCCCTCCATCAAATGTAAGCTCTATGAACACAGCCACTTTTGTCTGTCTTACTCATCACTGAATTCCTGCATGAACGATTCAATTAATTTGGACAGCCTTGGTTCTACAATCTATTAGCTATGCATTGCCATTTTAACAATATTAAATCTTCCTGTCCATGAACATGGGATGTCCACTTATTTAGATCATTTTTAATTTCCTTAAACAATGTTTTATAGTATTCACAGTAAATGTTTTACACTTCTTTTGTTAAATTTATTCCTAAGTATTTTACTTTTTGATGCTCTTGAAAATTGAATTTTCTTAATTTCATTTGCAGACGGTTCACTGCAAATGTATAAAAATATAATTGATCTTTATATATTGATCTTGTATCCTGCAAACTTGCTGAATCCATTTATTAGTTCTAATAGTTTTTTAGTGGATTCCTTACAATCTTCTACACACATGATGTTATCTGCAGATATATAGCTTTACTTCCTCCTTTCCAATCTGGATGCCTTTTATTTCGTTTTCTTGCCTAACTGACCTGGCTAGAATCAACGCACGCTTTTGAGATTCACCCACATTGTTGCATGCATTAGTCATTCTTCCCTTTTTATTGCTGAGTAGTATTCCATTGTACGAGTATGCCAGTGTTTACTATTCTTCTGTTGATGAACATCTAGATTGTTTCCAGGTTTGGGCTATCATAAACAAAGCTGCTAGGAACATTCTTACAGAAGTCTTTCTGTGGACATGTTTTTCAATTCTTTTGGGTAAATACCTAGGACTGGAACTGTAAACCATAAAATTAGTGTATATTTAACTTATTAAGAAATTGCCACACGGTTTTCCACAGTGACCGCACCATTTTACACTCCCACCAGCAATGCATTAAGAGATCTAGTTGCTCTCAATCTTTTCCACACTTGGTTTTGTTAGTTCTTAAATTTTAGCAATTCTAGTGGGTATGAGTAACATCTCATTGTGGTTTTAATTTGCATTTCTCTGACAACTAACAATGCTGAGCAAGTTTTCACGTGCTCATTGGCCATTTGCATTTCCTCTTTTGTAAAGTATCTGTCCGAGTATTTTGCTTATTTTTTAAATTGGGTTGTCTTTTTATTTTTGATTCATAGGACTTCTTTATATACTCTAGACAGAAACCCTTTGTCTAATATATGTATTATAAATATTTTCTCCCAGTCTACGCCCTGCTTTTTAATTTTCATAACAAAGTCTTTTGATGAGAGTTAGTTTGTAATTTTGATGAAGTCCAGTTTTCAATTTTCTTCTTTTATGGTTAGTGCTTTTCGTATTCTAAGAAACCTTTGTCTACTTAACGGTTCCTTAACAGTGACATTATTGACATTTTGGGCTGGACGACTGTTTTGGAGGGCTGTAGGATGTTTAGCAGCATCCCTGGCCTCTACCCACTAGACGCCAGTAGCATCCTCTACTTACGAGGACCAAACATGTCTCCAGATGTGACTGTGAAACTCCCCTGGGGGCAAAAGCGATACCAGTTGAGAACCACTGGTCTACTCCAATGTAGCAAAGATATTTTTGCTACGGTTGTCATACATTTAATATCTCATGATAATCACAATACATCGCTTCCCTGTATGTCATGAGTCTTTCCTCTTCGGCTGCTTAAAAATTTTTTTTTATATTTGGTTTTCAGAAGCTTAACTATGATGTATCAAGGTATGGTTTTCTGGTAATTTTTTTGTTTTGGGTTTGCAGCGTTTCTTGGATTTGTGGATTCCTGTTTTTCAAAAAATTTGGAAAAGCTTGGTTGTTTCTTCAAATATTTTTTTTCTACCTCATTCTGTCTCCTCTCCTTCTGGGACTCTGATTACAGACACACTGGACCTGATATTGCTGCACAGGTCACTAAGGTCCTGTCCAATCTTTTTTTCAGTCTCTCTGATCTTCATTTTAGATAATTTCTATTGACATTGCCTTCAAGTTCACCGTTCTTCTGTAGTATTCACTGTTAAACCTGCCTAATCATTTTTTATTTCAGATACTAGATTTAAACTTCAGATACAGATGGAGACCTTCTATTTGTTTTATAGTTCCCATTTCTCTGCTGAGATTCCACACTCAACCATTCTTTTATTTTCCTGTAACTCCTTGACCACAATAGTTATTTTCAAGTCTTTGCCTGCTAGTTCCAATGTCTAGATCATCTGTAAGTTGTTTTTTGCTGATTTCCAAACTATGATTGTGGGTCCCCCTTTTATTTTTGCTTCTTCCTATGTTATGTAAATTTTTTTTTGGTATGCTGGACTTTGTATACAGAACAGTGGTGTGGTGACTGAAGAGCGCTAACGTTGGGGCTGGCCTGGTGGCGTAGTGGTTAAGTTTGTGCACTCTGCTACAGCAGCCTGGGGTTGGCGGGTTTGGATCCCGGGCGCAGACCTACACACCACTCATCAAGCCATGCTGTGGAGGCACCCCATACACAAAATAGAGGAAGACGGGCACAGATGTTAATTCAGGGCCAATCCTCCTCACCAAAAAGAGGAAGATTGGCAATGGATGTTAGCTCATGGCCAAAGCTTCCTCATTAAAAACAAAAAAAAAAGAAAAAAAAGTGCTAATGTTTTTCCTAGAGAGTGAGAGTCCTCTCATCTGTATCCTAAAGCAAGGAGGTAATTACTCAGATTTCACTAAGTGTTGAGTTGAGTGGGAACTGAGTCACAGTTTGAAGAATGAACTCACCTCTGGTTAGTCCAACACTGTCTTTGCTTAGGGTTTAGGTTATCTGTCTTATACGTGATTGAGCTTGGAGCCAGGAGGCAGCTGGGCCACAGCATTACCTTTGGATTCACAGTTTCAGACAATAGGAGATTGCAAGACTGCAAATTCTCTCTGCTTCTCAGTTCTGCCTTTACCTCCTTTCTCTTAGCAAAAGTGGGAGTGGGGCGGATAGGGATGATTTTTATACCAAACAAATTACTGTTGTACTTGCAAGTCTTTCAGACCCCAATTTTTTTTTTTATGAGGAAGATTGGCTCTGAGCTAACATCTGTGCCCATCTTCCTCTATTTTGTATGTGGGATGCTGCCACAGCATGGTTTGACGAGTGGTGCGTCAGTCTATCCCCAGGATTCGAACCTGTGAACCCTGGGCCACCAAAGCGGAGTGTGCAAACTTAACCACCATGCCACCGGGCCAGCCCCCTCAATTTTTTCTTAAACAGCTTTATTGGGATATAATTCATATACCACACAAATCAGTGATCTAAAGTATAAAATTCAATGGTTGCTGGTATATCACATTGTTAAGCTTAAGAAAATTGTGTTAAGATAGATATAACATAAAACTTGCCATTTTAACCATTTTTAAGTATACAATTCAGTGGCATTAAGTATATTTACAATGTTGTGCAACCAACACTACCCTTTTTATGAAGTCCTTTGCCTATTTTCTTTCTATTGTGTTTTTTATTAAGTTCACAAATTTAACATGAAGAGAACTCAATGAATTTTGACATGTAACTGTTGATAATGTTCAACGTTCAAGATATCAATCATTGCTGGTACTTTAGAAGGCTCCTCTGTACCCCATTTTTAATGCCCTAACAGTAACAACTATTCTGATTTCTACCATGATAGCTAAGTTCTGCCTGTACTTGACTTGAGGTAAATGCAATCCAGCAGCACGTACTCTTGTGTCTGGCTTCTTTCACTGAACACTACGTCTGTGGGATTCTCTATTTTGTTTTGTATAGGAGCAGTACATTTTATTTCACTGCTTTGTAGTATTCCACCATATAAACACACCATAATTTATCCATTCTTCAGCTGATAAGCATTTGAGTTGTTTCCTGGTTTTAGCTATTATGAATATACCGCTATGAACATTCTTATCCATATCTTAGGGTGAACAAATGCACTCATTCCTGTTGGCTACATATCTAGAAGTAGATTTGCTGGGTCAATGGGGATTTTGCGTATCTGGTTTTGATACTACCAGACGGTTTTCCAAAGTGATTCTATGAATCTGCATTCCCACAGCAGTAAGGGAGAGTTTCTATGGCTCTGCTTCCTCACCAATACTGGGTATTGTCAGCTCTTTCAATTTTAGCCATTTTGGTGGGGGTGTAGTTGTCTTTTTCCTTTATGATTTGTATTGTTTATATGTTCTGAATACAACTACTCTGTTGGTTACATAGGCTGCAATTTTCCTATTTCATGGCTTGATTTACCCTAAAATTAAGAAAGCTGTAATTTTAGTGAGGTCAAATTTTCCCTCTGCCTGAAGAATATCCTTTAGATTTCCTTCAGGTCTGGTAGGCATGAATTCTTGCAGTATCTTTCTGAAAAATGTCTTGACTTCACCTCATTCCTTAAAGACACTTTTTGCTAGGTTTAGAAATTCTAGGCAGATAGACTGTCTTTGGCTTTCACTTTCATTGCCGAGAAGTCAGCTGTCAGTTCAACCACTGCTCCTTTGAAAGCAGCCTATCTTTTTCCTCTGAGTACTTTTAATATTTTATCTTTGCAGTTCTGCAGTTTCACTATGATAGTCTTAGATCAATTTCCTTTTACACATTCTGCTTGGCATTTTGAATCTGTGGGTTACTATCTTCTATTGGTTTTGGAAATTTCTACCTTTTTCTCTTCTAAGACTGTCATAGTTCTTTCCCTCTCTCTTCTCCTTCTGATTAAATGTATGTTAGCTTTTTCTTTTAGGATTTTGCCCTCTCTTTTGTACTGTCCGTCTTTTTTGTTCTCCATGACGCATTCCAGATAACGCAACCTGACCTACCTTCTAGTTCAAAGGTCAGCAAACCATAGCCTATGGGCCAAATCCAGTCTGCTGTTTTTGTAAATAAAGCTTTATGGGGACATAACCACACTCACTCATCTATGTATTGTCTATGGCTGCTTTCATGCTACAATGGCAGAGCTGATAGCTGTGACAGAAACTGTATGCAGCCCTTAGACTTGAGTAAGTCTAAAATACTTACAACCGGGCCCTTCACAGAAAAAGTGTGCTGATCCCTGGTCTAATATATTGCTGTTCTCCTTCAGCTGGGTCTAATCTGATTTTAAATTTTAATTATTATATATTCTTCTAGAAGTTCTATTTGGTTCTTTTTCAAAGCTGCTATGACCCATCTTATAATCTCTTCTTCTTTACTGGTATTTTCAAGTTTGTCTTTTATTTCTTTTAAACATGTAAAACACAGCTGTTTTATAGTCTAAAAGTGTTTGCAAATATATAGCTGACGTTTATTCTAGCTCTTGCTCACAGCTCCTTGTTTCCTTCTGTGACTAATTTAGGTGTGGGAAGCAACGTCCTTAAAAATGATCTGAGGCCTAGAGTCAAGCTAGTTTTCTTCAGCATGGTCTGTGCTGCTTTGGCCAGACATCAGCAGATACCACCATCCTAGCATCTCGTCAGGCCACATTCACAGGCTGCGACTGATGAATGTGAAGTCCCAACTCATTGTGGGGACAGCCTCTTTTAGACTCCTTACTTTGTGCATGTCTTGGTTAATGATTTCTGCCCCTTTGTCCTTTGGGGTTATTAAAATAGCAAATTTATATTTTCTCAGACTAGTAATTGTTCTCAGGGCAAAACTGGCTTCTGTGCTCTCCTCACCTCTATAGGTTCCCATTTTCCTTTTAATTTGGCTTGCTAAATACCTTGTTAGCTTCTCAGTGCTTTTAAAACTATGGTTTTTATGTTTTATCTAGCATTTTTAGCTGTTTTCAATGGGGAACTTGGTTTGAATGACCTAATCCGCAATTACCAGAAACCAGAAGCAGAAGTTCATTTCTCTCTGGATCACTGACTAGGGCAGAGACCATCTTCAAAGGAAAAAGGTGATAATGAAAATCTACGGAAGATGTATAAGAAACATGTAATACACCCACCACTTTAATAACTACTGGACAAATACCAATTCCATCTTCAGAAAGTTGCAATCATTTCCAGTATATCAGAGTACCTTTCTTCAGAAGGACTTCTCATGAGGGGACAATCACCTACAGCTGGCACGTGATGTAACAGTAAATTGAATCTCTCTGGGCCCTTAGTGTCCTCATCTGTCAAATGGGCAGAGCACCTACCTTGTAGAAGTACTAATGATTACATGAGTCAGTTTGTAGAAGACACTTAAGACCATGACTGGCACATAGATAACCACTACCTATACAAACTGAAACAGCTTAGGTCACCAGAAGGAGTCCTTGGACTATATATACAGCTTAGCACAGGGCCCATATAGGGTTTCTATTGCACATTCTTCTTCTTTTTGTTTAAACAGCCATTTAAAAAGGTAAAAACCATTCTTAGCTCAAGAACCTTAGAACAAAACAAGGCCAAGGAGTGAATTTAGCCCACAGGCTGTAGTTTGTCAACCCCTGGTCTAACAGAACAGGCAGAAGACTGATGGAAATCAGGCAATGTGCTTTTAAGTGCTTTCCTAGAGGACTGTCAAAGAAGGATCAAAACTGTAGTGATTCTCTCAAAGGAGAGGCTGAGACTTTTGTGTCCCTAAGGGAGCTAAAGAAGGTGCAGCTTGAGAACCACACACGGCTGTTTGCTGAGGCTGGGCATACAATATGAACTGACTGTATTACATAGGAACAATGTGGATGGGTTTGATACATGTTGACACACATAGCGGCAAACATACGTATTTACCTGGCCAAAGACTGTTCCACCAGTACTGGCTGCTTGACCAAACAAAGAACCAGTATTACTAGACCCAAAACCTGTAAAATAAAAAGAAAACACAAGTTTAATTTGGATGAGTCTTTTACAACATCAAAGTGGTCTGTTGGTGTTTTTTTTAAATAGCATTCAGGTGTGCTAAGATACCCCACAATAAATCAACTCACAAATAAAATCTGTTTTCCTATCTAGGAAATGGAGAAAATTATGAGTAAATAATTTAGAGACCTTTTTTCATTGCTAACACTGTATAACAGTATAAATTCCAAAGTCCCAAGAACTGAATCCTTGTCTCCTACCAAATCCCAGGTGGGTGGGGACCAATAAAGTGGTATACTCTCAGAGTAGCTTTTCCCTAGACTTTTAGCTGCCAAGAAGTCTTTCCAATGACTGACTTAATATCACAAATACTCTACTACCCCATTTCCTCTCATCTCAAATTCCAGATTCTTTCAGGGTTGTTTATCTTTCTCCCAGGGGGCATAACGTGGTTGAGATGCTGGGTTGAACAGGGCCTGGGAAAACCAGGCAGAACTATATATTATAACAAAAGGCCCTAGACAAGAAGGCAGGAGTTCCATTCTCGCCTCTGTCACTGATCTAGTAAGTAGGTGGGCTTAGGCAAGTCTCAATTCCTCAATGAGGGTCGGAGGAGACTACTCAGGTGCCTTTCCAGAGTTACTATACAAAAGAAGATTTCTTCAGAGGTTCTCAATAGCATTGAAATAATTTGATTATACTTGTGCACAAGGGATTCTCAAGTTTTGACCATAGAACAAAGGATGCACTAGGGACAGTGTTAAATATCTTACTCTCTTCTGAGACACACAAGGCCTTTTCCCTGTGCATTCTCTAGACCAAGTTATCACATTTCCCATCATTCAAATAGCCCAACCAGTCTCTTCACAGGGCATCGGGTGGATCTCAGAACCGTCTTTCACCACTTGTCCTTGTAGCTAAACTTAGTGGGAGCTTAACAAACATCTGTTGAAGGAAGGAAGGAAAGAAAAGATTTCCTTCCTAATAAATTATAAACCATTTTCAAATAAATTATCACCAAAGGAATCAATTAGCAGTTACTTATAACCCTGCCCACCAAGAAATCATTGATCCTTGTTTCTCCCTCAGAGCCTAATTGCTGAAGAAATGCCTTTCGTAAGATAACCATCAGAAAGTAAAACTTAGAGAAGATTTTCAAATTGTCCTGTCTATTGCTAACTTGCTTTTTTTTTGCTGGGACAGATTCACTCTGAGCTAACACCTGTTGCCAGTCTTCCTCTTTTTGTTTCCTCCACAAAGCCTAAGCACACAGTTGTATATTTTAGTTGTAAGTCCTTCTAGTTCTTCCATGTGAGCCTCTGCCACAGCATGGCTACTGAAAGACAAGTGGTGTGGTTCTGCACCCAGGAACCAAACCTGGGTCGCTGAAGCAGAGCGCGCGGAACTTGAACCACGAGGCCATCAGGGCTGGCTCTACTGCTAACTTTTGGAAATAAAACTGGACACGCAACAGGGAGGATTATGTTTTACTCTTAAAAATAATAAAATTTGAAGATTTAAAAAAAAATTACAACATTGAAAATAGGAAAAAACCCAACTTTTCAAATGTCATCTGCCCTTCTGGCAAGCAAGATAGTATCAGAGGACATAGAAAACACTGGCAGGGCAGTGAACGAGGCTGAGGAGCTCCGGAGTCTAGCTCTGGCTTCACCACTAGTCCTAAGTGACACAGGATCAGTCATCTCGAGGCTTGACAGTTTTGGACATAATGACCTTTAAAGCACCTTCCAAATTTAAAATTTCATATTTATAAGTCATTCATTACTTGCCAAGACCTTAAATTCGTTTTTCTCCCCATGAAATCGGCACTCTGGTGGCTAGGAGAGCGGAGAACTTGCTGAGAAACAAAAGTGGAGCTACCACAATTAGGCCAAAGAGATTCCTGAGATTGCCAGCACTCAGCTCCCTCCTTGACTTTACAGTCTTCTCTGTTTTCTCTCTTTTAATTACAAAAGTAATACAGGTATGCTGCAAATGTTTCAAATAATACAGAGGGGAACAAAGCAAGAATCTTCCAGAAACTCTTACCTGAAGCTTGAGAAAAGCTAAACCCAGAGGATGCTGCTGTCGTGGTGGCGGCCGAGGTGCCTCCAAACACAGAGCCTCCTTGCCCGAAGCCAGGACTCTGACCAAAAGCAGGCGGGTTGCTTTGGCCAAAGAGCCCCCCTCCTGCGTTGGCAGAAGACTGTCCAAATGAGAAGGAGCTGGAGCTACTGGTGCTTGAAGAGGCACCAAAGACATTCCCACTAGTAGACGTGGGGGTGGAGGACACAGACTGACCAAAGGCGGGCACGGAGCTGAACCCAGGCTGACTGAAGGGAAAGCCACTCGCAGGGCTGCTGGTCGACTGCCCAAATGCCGGCGCCTGCCCAAAGGTCGTCTGTCCAAAGACCATTGTGGCTGAGGTGCCAAAAGCTGGACTGCCAAACCCTGAGCTGCTGACCTGTGGCGTGGCAGCTGCCGTGCTGGTGATGCTGCCTGTCTGCTGCCCAAACAGGCTTGGTGCAGTGCTGGCTGCCACCTGCCCAAACATGGGGGCAGCAGAGGGGGCAGTGGCTGTATTGCTGGTGAGTTGGCTGAAAGCTGAGCTAGAACTGGCGGCAGGTGGCTGAGTGAAGACAGAAGAGCCAGAAGTGACAGTCCCAAGCACTGCTGTCTCTGGAGCTGGGCTGGGAGCAACACTGGAAACAGCACTAGAGGTTGTGGGGGGGCTTGATGTTTCTACGGCCACAGGGGCTGCACTTGGGATTGTAGTTGCTGTGACGGCAGTCTGCCTGGGCACCGAAAGGGGGGCAGCAGGAGATGCCGGTTCCGCCTTGACGTCAGGGACCCCGGGGGCTGCTGGAGTGGCCTCTGTAGAAGGCGCTATGAGACTGGTACTAGATGCTGCAGCACTGGCGTTGCTGACTGTGGGCTGGGCAAGAGCAGGTTCTTTTTTAACAGGGTCAGAAGTTGGCAGAGGAGCCTGAGGAAGCAGGGCTGACTGCTGCTGCCCTAGAAGCGAGGCTGTTGATGCCGAGACCTCAACGTTGCCTGGCTTCTCGGGCAAAGCTGATGATGGGGCCTCCTCCGTGCTTTTACCAGAGGACACAGGCAGGGTGGGAGCAGACGCTAAATTCAGGAGGCTACCAAATGACAATGTGGGGAATGACGTAGGAAGGGGAGTGGCAGCGGTAGCTGATGGTGTGGCAGATGGGGGCACCGTATTACTCGTCTGCTGGCTTCCAAAAGAAAAACTAGTCTTGCTACCACTTAGAGATAACCCACCAAAATTGAGTACCCCAGAGGATGCCGCACTGGGGAGTGGCAGACTGCCAAAGACGCCAGTCGAGGAACTGCTAGTGCTTGTGCTGGCTGCGGCTGCTGGTGCTACTGTGGTGGCGGTCACAGAAGAGGTCACAGGGGGCTCCACGTGCTTGCCTAACACTGGAGGGCCAGTGAAACTAAACCCCGAGGGGACGGTTGACGCCTTGGTTGGCTGTGCGCTAGTTAGGCCTGTGGATGAAGCCTTATTGGCCGGCTTTGCAGAATCATCTGCTTGGCCAACCCGCAGTCCTGAAAAACTTCCTAGAGTCTCTCCAGCCAAAGAACTCGAAAACAGAAGCTCCCCCAACTGGGATGGCGGAGTTTCCAGCTTGCTAGAGGGGGTGGAAAGAGCACTTCCAGAAGGTGCCGCAGGTCTGCTGCTCGATGGAGTAGACCCTCCTGCAGAAGCCATGGCAGCTCCGGTGGTGTGCGAGGTTGTCATTCCCGAGGGAGGGGAGCTTTCAGGAATGGTCTCGTAAAAAGGTTTGCCGCCCCCACCAAAGGAGAATGCGTCAAGCTGGGTTGACTCTTTAGTGGGGGGTGCTGCCCCTAGCAAGAAAAAGAAATTAGGAATGGGTTGGATTTGGCAAAATATGACCTATCAGATTTCCACTGACAATTTCTAAGCCCAAGTCTCTCTCCTCCCTTGACACAGTCAGGGAGAGCTTTTTCCAACAGTTTTCCTCAGGGAGACAGAATGAATGCTTCTCCACAGGAGCATTAGCTCTGTCTGAGTCATCTCACTGAGGCGAACAGCACAAACATTCCTTCTAGGACCATGAAATCACAACATACACACCATATCTAGAATACATGAAATTCACGTATTAGCCCAAAAGAGAAATAAAAAGGCATCCTCCCTTATTTTCCCATGTGTACTTTCCTCAATAACACTGTTGGCACAGTGCTAGCCTATGGACCTCCTGATAGACCAGGAATTGATCCAAAATCAAGTTTTTCCTCTGGTTTTTATGGGCAAATAAAGTGTCAATCTACAGACAATCATTTTTACATACAATAAAGGGCTCCTTCCCAGTGCTCTCCCCAGTGAGTGGTTTTACAGAGGCGGGATGGCTTCATGGGTTGAGGACAGGGGCTATGGAGCTAGACACTCTGCTACTTGCTGGCTGTGCAACTCTGGAAACCTTATTTTACCTCTCTGGGCTTCAACTGCCCCATTTGGAAAACAGAGATAATAATACCTACCTCACAGAGTTGTTAGAAAGATTAAATGAAATATAGGTATAGCACACACAATGAGGTCTGGTTAAACCATAAGTGGTCAGTTAAAAAAAAAAGAATTAAAATTTGATATTTATAAACTAAAATTGGCCTATCGCAAAGGTTTATTGATGTTTCTAACTCCATATTGTTTTAAGAAGTCTGGCTATCACAAACTCCTGGGAACACTGCAAAACCCCTGTGACCTATGTATAACTTCCAGAAAGACCTCTTTGTATCACTGGTATTGTACGGAGTTGTTTATGGTTTTGGATTGTTGTCTATTTGTGTATTACTTTATATAATTAGTATTGTATTTTACTACTACTTTATTTTATTTATGATTTTTGACACTCATTTGTTCCTTTCCAATCTTTTGACATCACTGAGTTGTTTTTCCTCTAGAAAGTAAGACTGGGGAGGAAGTGGGTCTCGAGGGTATTCTGCCACATCTAAGTGGGCAGAGGTTAAAAAGGCAGTCTAAGAATCGCTGTTTCAGAGAGAAAGGAATGAAATCAACAACCCTTTAAAATGCCACACATAGATCAGGTTTATGAAGTCTGCCATGTTTTCAGCTCCCTAATCTCTCTCTAGGAGATCCCTTTTTTTTACTAAAAAACTTCTACCACTTGGGTTAGCACATAGAAAGCACTCCAAAAATATCTGTTGAATGAATAGATGAAAGATGGTCATTGTGTTATTTATTATACGGAAAACTTGGAAATAACCTATATGTCCAACAAGTGAATAGTTAAATAAATTATGGCATATCCACAAGATAGAAATTATGTAGCCATTAAAAATGACATTTATACAAGATTTTCAATAATATTGGAAAATTCACAAGAGTGTGTTAAACAAAATAAAATGAAAGACAAAAATCCCAGAAGGAAATAGAACTGCAAAGGTTATAAGTCAGGGGGTACAACGTGTGATTCTAGAACACGTCACTTTTATCATAAAAGCTTTTTTTTAAATACAAGAAAATAAACTTAATTACTTAAACTGAGAGCTGGAAGGCACTTAAAAAACAAATTTGGTTTCTTCATAGGTCCTCAAATTCTTTTTTTTTTTTTTTTTTTGTGAGGAAGTTTAGCCCCGAGCTAACATCTGTTGCCAATCCTTCTCTTTTTGCTGAGGAAGGTTGGCCCTGGGCTAACATCTGTGCCCATCTTCCTCTACTTTATATGGTAAGCCACCACAGCATGGTTTAACAAGCAGTGCGTTGGTTGGCACCCGGGACCTGAACCTGCAAACCCTGGGCCACTGAAGTGGAGTGCGTGAACTTAACCACTACACCACCAGGCCAGCCCCTCGGTCCTCAAATTCTTTTAAATGTTAAAAATATGCTAGTTGATGGATTTCTAACAAACACATGGGACCAGTGTGTTTGCTGATAGGTTATCAAGGAAAAAAGATGGGTTTGGTCTTTTATTTCTGTAGTACTATGTCTATCTCACCCTATAAATTGAAGAAATTTTAAATTACAAGCGAAAAAGATGAAGAAAAAAATTTTAATTCACGTTAACCTTCACATTTAAAGCACAGCTTTGCTTTTCTTTCATTTTTTTTGTTTTTTTTTTCTTTTTTTGTGAGGAAGATCAGCCCTGAGCTAACATCCAATGCCAAGCCTCCTTTTTTTTTTTTTGCTAACATCTGTGTCCATCTTCCTCTACTTTATATGGGATGCTGCCACAGCATGGCTTGACATGCGCTGTGTCGGTGTGCACCCGAGATCTGAACCTGCGAACCCCGGGATGCCAAAGCAGAGCGTGTGCACTTAACTGCTACGCCACTGGGCCGGCCCCTGCTCTTCCTGAGGCAAATCCTTCCTTGTTCTTTTTTTTTTTTTTGGCTCAGGAAGATTGGCCCTGAGCTAACATCTGTTGCCAATCTTCTTTTTTTGCTTGAGGAAGATTAGCCCTGAGCTAACATCTGTGTCAGTCTTCCTCTATTTTGTATGTGGGTTGCTGCCACAGCATGGCTGACAAGTGGTGTAGGTGCGTCCGGGATCCGAACCTGCAAACCTGGGGCCACCGAAGCAAAGCGTGCCAAACTTAACCACTATGCCACCGGGCTGGCCCCCTTTCCTTGTTCTTAATGATGAAGATAGATAGAGGTCCTTCCTAACAGTTTCTTAGCCCAGCCTATTTCTAATGCATAATATCAACACCAAACTTCTTGCAGATACTTTAAGCAGGATTTAGCAGTAAGTAAAATGTCAAGACATCTGTACAAAAAGAACCTGCACTTGTGTGGGGGAGACACAGACATAATGCTATGCTACGCAGAGACTGTACCTTGTGTGGCAGTGAAGTTAGAAGACGGTGTTGGTGTGATTATCCCAAAATTAAAGCCAGTCCTAGGGAGTAGAAGAAAAGTTAAAAAGGAACAAACCTCAGGCACAATATTGCCTTTTTAATATCACATTTCATAATTCACTCATACAACCTGCTCTCAAGGATTTTACAATCTAGAAGATAAACAACAGAATGAAAGCACATTTCTCTGAAGCAATAAAACCACTCCAAGATCTCCAAGGAGGGAGAGGCAATTTGTGGGTGAAGTAAAAAGGAAGTAGAGGTTGTGAAGGTCTTGGAGGGATGGCTGGGCTTTCCACGGCAGAGGTTTGGGTGGGGACCTAGTCCAAGGAAAGCAAAGGAGTAGTAGTAGAAACGCACTAGGAATGTGCATGTGGGAATGGTGGCGAGAGCAGGTGGTCTGCCCAGTGAAGGAGACAAGACAGGCTGGATCCCTGTCTTATAACTCACCCCAAGTCAAAGAGCATGTCAGGAAAGTTCCAGACTACTAGGGGAGAGGATGGAGAGCATGGAATAGAAGCCACTGTCTCTGCTGTTTTGACAGAACTCTCAGTTCTGGACTGGGAAAATTGGCTTCAAAAACTTTTGACTCCTTTTATCATCTCCTCTCTCCTTCTACACATTTTCTTTACACTGTGAGTAAACACACCATAGCCAAAGAAAAAAATTCAGCCCAAGTATGAACCAGAATAGACTATTCACTGTGATAAAAGCTGAAATATCAAATTTAAAACTATATAGTTTTAAAATATGAGATCAAGTATATCAAATACAGTAAGTAATGAAAGGATCTGGATTTTTTTAAATCCATCATTGCCTTTGTCAAATGCACAAAGACCACCTAAGAAGATGTGTTATATATCTTACCATATTAAATAAAAAAACCTCTTTTCTTGTCTCAACCTCGGTGAAGAAATTTTATCTAGCAGAGGTAAGCCATTGACCCAATAATCCAAAGCTTTTCAGCTTATTTTAAAAATGGGAAGAAGTGTATCAGTTCATAGAAGTAAAGTTTATTAGCATTTGTAAAAGATGCAATAACTCCTGGCACTGACCTACTCTTTAAAATTTGCTCCAAACTATCTTTGCAAAGTATAAAACATAATGATTTACAGTAAAGAAAAAATAATATATAATTTCCCTTCTCAAATTCTATTCTAACACCCTGTTCTCTGAACGTGTTAGGTTGCAGACACTCAAGAAACATATTAATTCAGGGAAAAGAGACTGTGGTTAATATGATTCTAGTTACAAAAGCATAAACTGAAAGAGCTTAAGAGGTTTTTCTAATGGAACTGAATGCACAACGCTTCAATGGCAAAAAATCTTTGGACAGGTTTTTATCTCAGCCACACAGAGGCTAACTCCACCCCCGAAGGGAGAGGATGCTTTGGCATCTTTCACAGGTTTCAACAGGAGTGCTTATAGCACAGGGAACAGGCACTCTCCCCACCAGATTAATAAATGCTCCCCCTGGAATGAGGGTTAAAGACTCTCTCGTTTTTAAAAATGACTCAACTTTACAAGTACAGCCATCATCATTTTTTCAAAAATGAAACAGGAACAGATTTCCCCACATCTATATAAAACTCAAATTTTCAAACAGCTACTGTCCTTCATTCCCTTCTCTCCAAAGTTTAGCACACTGACCTCTCAGTGCAGTAAAAGCCAGTCCAAACGTCATCTAGCCCCCAATGACATGAGAATGAAAATAGCTCAGTGTCATAAACTAGATCAGCTTCAGCTACAGAATTGACACAGACCCACCATGCAAAGAAAACGAGGCTTACTCTAAAAAACAAAATGAACAAACGTAATAACACATGTATAAACTAGAACTGAGAAGAGGAAATAGATTTACACTAGGACATTAAGCTACTGCCATTATCATCAGACGTATTACTGCACTGATAAGAACTCTGAGTTCACATATAGTTAATAAGCATATAAATAGACCTACTGACTGTAAGATTTGGGGAAGCTATCTATAAGGTTGCTGACGATCTGCCACAAAATTTAAGTTCATTACTGACCCTGATGGAGAAAATGAGAAAGGCTTGCTGAACTGCCCAACGGCAGATGATGGTGTAGAAGTCACAGCTGTTTCAATCTTTGCTCCCCCTGGCCCTGAAATTTTGGGAAAAAATAAGAACATGACAAAACATCACTTAGAAACACCATTCCAGTTTGTAATTCTCTGCAGCACTGCCTGTGTAGTGCCTCTGAGAGCGCAGCTCCAGGTCTGTGGGCCTCACATGGATTCTCTGACAAGTCAGCAGCCAAGGAGGGAGCGCATGTTGCCTAACTCACACTCCAGGTCTCTGAACTTGCTCTTCAGTGCTGTCAATGTTAATTCCAAAACAAGACATGCCACACTCTCCTTTCCAGAAAAGATATCAAAATAATTCTAGTGCAGTTTAAATTTAAAGCTTTAAAAGTAGATAGATAATTATTGAAAAGTAATATACACTGTAGGACAAAAACCCCAAGAGAAATAGGTTAATATGCTAAATATCTCTGAGTAGGGACTTCAAGACTATTTGCTTTCTTCCTCCGTTTCTCTATTTTCCATAGATTTTTTGTATTTAACAAATAACAGTTTTCTTTTAAATTACAGAGGTAATACACAATTGCTGTGATATAGAGAAGTGTAGAAAGTTAAAAGTGCAATCCATCATCCACCTCACATCCGATTTCACTGTAACTACTTATTCATAGTTTGGGGTATTCAGTCTTTCCCCTATTGCTCTACTTTTTTTTTTTTTTAATTTTTTTGTGAGGAGATCAGCCCTGTGCTAACATTTGCCAATCCTTCTCTTTTTTTTTTTTTGCTGAGGAAGACTGGCGCTGGGCTAACATCCGTGCCCATCCTCCTCCACTTTATACGGGATGCCACCACAGCATGGCTTGCCAAGCAGTGCGTCGGTGTGCGCCCGGGATCCGAAGTGCCGAACCCTGGGCTCCCGCAGCGGAGCGCATGCACCTAACCACCTGCACCACCGGGCCAGCCCCGTTCTACTTTTTTTTTCAAGTTAGTTATTGTTATTTTATTTGTGTGTGTGTGTGAGGAAGATTAGCTCTGAGCTAACATCTGTTGCCAATCCTCCTCTTTTTGCTGAGGAAGATTGGCCCTGGGCTAACACCCATGCCCATCTTCCTCTACTTTATGTGGGACGCTGCCACAGCATGATCTGATGAGCAGTGCATAGGTCCATGCCCGGGATCTGAACCTGCGAACCCCAGGCCGCAGAAGTGGAGCACGCGAACTTAACCACTACGCCACCAGGCAAGCCCCTATTGCTCTACTTTTAAAAGGTGGAGCGTAACGGGAAAACTACATTTAAAAAGCCCAAATCAACCCAGACCAAACAATAAGAAAAAGTACCTTTTCTTTAAGTGAGTATGGGGCAAACATTAGTAAAATTATTTTAAAAACTACTACAATACAATGTAGTGTGTACAATGGTGTTTAACGCAACCTTGCTTATAATCTTGAAAAACAAGAAACAATCAAAACTATCAGCAAAACTATCAGCTGGTAAAACTTAACAGGATACAACTATACAATGAAGTCCTATGCTGCCATTAAAATGAGTAGGGAAAGCTGTATCAGATCTGAAAAGACGAACAGGATATTTATTGTAAGGGGGTTGGGGGAGACGGGGAAACAGATTACAAATCACTATATATGGGTATGCCTATTTATTTTTAAAAGTAACAGTGAAGTAACCTCAAGAGATACACATCAAATCATTAAGGGTTGTTATCTCTGGAATATGGAACTTATAGGGCAGCTTTTACTTTCTACAGTATATATCTCCACACTATAGATTTTTTTGTGGACCTGTAATAGTTTTATAATCAGAAAAACAATGAAGGAAGTATTTCCATTATTAATTAATAAGAACTATTCTATAGAGGTTTCAGAAATGCTTTTTTTTTTTTTAAGAAACTTTTTGCAGACTCTTTAGTATTGTTCAGGGAAATTTTCCTACCCCAAAAAAGTTCTTTTCTTTTGATTATCCTGCAAGTGAAAACAGAATACTTAGCAATGAGAGAGAATATTTCACAACCATCACTGAATGATGAAATCTCAGAAACTTCTTTGCAAGTCACGCTAACTGCCTAAGACATACATAAAGTCAAGACCCTTACATTTTGCTTCTTAACTTCAAGAGTGACAAAAAGCTTGCCAATGAAGGCCCTGAAAGAAATTAGGATATGCGATATTTCAAAAACTTTTTCTAAAAAATTAGCCAGAAATGGAAACACATTTCTTAGTTTGAATCCTAAATGATTAAAAAGTCTTTGACAATTCCACTACATTTTTCCTTTTAACATAAAGCTTTAGATCTGAGTCAAGAAGTGCTATATATCTCCTCATATAAGGCTTACATGACAACTGTAGTTCTGCGTTAACCCAAATTCTAGAATACAACTTTGGCTTACACAATGGTTTTCTTCTGAGTGCAAGGAATATTTACTGAAGATAAATCCAATATCCAATCAGAAAGTTTTTGATTACAGAGAAAGTTAGAATGATTGTATGACTGAGTAGAGATTATGAGAAGCAGGCTGCTAATAATGTGTGAAGTTCAGCATCTCTAACAGAATTAGCTTGAAGACCCACTTGACAGCATGAAACAAAATAAAGGCCAGAGTCCCGAGTGTGGTGAAAATGCAGGACTGCAGGCAGCACAAGACCCGTGAAGCGGAAAGTAACACATGCCAAATAAAAGTGGGTTATAGAAAAGAAGCCAACAAAAGGGGATGCTGAAGAAGACGCCAAATCAAAATTAGGTTATACATAAAAGCACGTTTCTGCTTCAGGTTGGCTTGGGCAATGGGGATGCCTAGTCAAAGCACTTATGGCGACAGCAAAAACTAATTTTAGTTAAGAATAATTATGCTTGAGCAAGTGTTGGAAGTATGTGACGCCATAAAATCTTTTTATATTGACATTACATCTACTCTGAGATCTTATACTGTAACAGAACCGTCTTATTTTCTCTAGTTTACTGCCTTTTGAATTGTCACTGTGAGCCAAGAGAATTTTTCATTCCTTTTAGTAGAAGAAATAGAGGTCAATGTTCCAATCCACTCTTCTCTAAACTTTGATCATCCATCAAGGCAGGTGAAGATAACACTTTTGCTCCTTTTAGGAAAAACACTTGAAGGACGGTTTTTTCCTCTTGCTCTCAAATGTCAGAAGTCTACAGAGCTGCTGAAGGGCTCACTAACTTCCTGGAGAACCTTCATCAACTGAGGGTTTCGGAACATCTCTTTACTTGATTTCCTACGTTAACTGCCTTTGTGATCTAGAACAATAAACTCCATATGGATCATTTCTTTCACCTTTATTTATACTAAAACATAAATGCAAACTGACCTGAAGCTTTATCAGCAGATGACAACTGGCTGGACGCTGGTGTGGCCCCAGACGGCTTTACGGAATTTATTAGCGATGCCTATAACAGAATACAAGCAAAATGTTTATATGAAACCACCAACCATCCTTTGGAATAAAGGAACATGTAAAATGACAAGATAATTTAAAATAAGCACGCATAAACCCTTTTTCAGTTTAATTTTTTTTTAAAGTTTCAATTTAAGTCAATATGTTTAAGTGCTTACCACGTTTAAGAAAGAGATCCTATCCGAGGATGGAAACAGGAATATTCTGCAAGCTCCAAGAAAGCAGAGGCATGCCTGTCTAGCTTGTGGCTATTTTCTCAGTGCCTAGCACAGCGCTGGGCACATAAAAGCACTGGAGTATTTGGTGGGCAAACGAGTGAAGAACTAAATGCATCAAATGAGTTCTAGCTCGCAATAAATGTACGATAAGGTTAAAAAGCAAAACTGATCCATCTCCAGTCACTATTCCTTTTCTCTTGTTTGTTATGATTCATGCCCTACCATGTGTCCTCCAAGGTGAACATGGAAACCTCTGGAAGGCGATCAAACACTAAATGCTTAAATGCCATTTTAAGTCACAGCAAACTAAGGAAGAGAGAGACGTGTTTGAGAATTCACAATAGGCAAGTTCTGATGCTCAATCTCAAACGTAATCTAAAATTACTTTTCTCAGAGACAGAAGAGTAGCAGAGAAACCAGGTTTTCTCAGGGAAGCTGCAGAGACGCTTGCTCTACCTTTCAGTCATCTCCTACTGTTTTCTTCTGAATCGTTTAGCTGTACAACATAACCTCTTCTTCTAAGAGACAATGTTTATCAGGCAAAAGCCTGAAAGTAGACATAATAAACATCACTGACTATGCAAGCTCTGAAAAACAGAGACTGCAGGAGAAAGCAAGAGAACCTCTCCCCCAGACACTCATGCTGAAAGGTACGGGAAAAAAGCAACAGACGGGAAGACGGTAGAGGACTTGGGTTCCAGCTCTGGTTCCACCACTTACTAACTGTGTAAGCTCGAGTCAGTCACTTGAGCCTTGGCTTCCTCATTAGTGAAACATATCTAAACACTTGTCTATTGCACACGGTTGTCGTATGCGTTAACCAAGATAATGTTAAATGCAAATAGATTGCAAACCCATTTACCCCATATAAATATAAGGTATTAGAATTATGACCCAAGATTACTATACGCAGAATGTCAAATGGCCTGTGAAGACAATGTCAGGTCCTGACTGACCTACTATGCCAAGATTGGCATAAATTGTGGGGAAAGGATCAGAGGTCTCTGTCACACTCATAGTTTATTTAAACTACATGAGAACTTAAAACGGTACTGTCTTCAGATAGTCACTGCACGACTGTTAAAAAGCAAAAATCAGTGAGTTACCTGCGTAGCTTGGTTAGCAGCCACTGGGTTCAACACTGGGTGAGGTGTTTTGGCTGTAGAGTATGGCATTGAAGAACTGAAAAACACAAGGCAGACAGACACTCCAGAGAAAGGCATGATTGGGTGAAAACCACATTCGTCCTTAAGCCAACCTTCTGTCCTATAAATAATACCAATTTTGGGTAGACTATAGATGTCTGGGACCCTAACCAAAGTCATCGGACATTTTTCTGACTGAAGAATAAATTGTTTGAATCAAATTTGGGTCTTTAGCATAAAAGTCAAAGCAGTGACTTTTAAACTTATTTTCTTCCTGAAATCCTAAGAAAAAAAGTTGTAACTATTCAGAAGTAGACCTTTCTCTGATCTGGAGAGGAAGCCCTCCCTAACTCCCCCCGCCCCAGATCCCACCCCCTAGTTCCAGACTATGTGGGGAATTCCTGATTCTCTTTTCCAAGCCTGAGAAAATGTTCAACAGGATCTACGGGATGCATACAATCTGCTGCATATATGGCTCAAAGGTGTTACTCAAAGAAGAGATCTCAGCTTATCACACCAACCGTGCCCAAGAGCCCAGTGCTCATCAGGTCGGCGTACAAGAGACTCAAATGTACCACTGCTCCATTTCCAGCCTGCACCTTTGCCATAGTATGAAAAGCGCACCCACTCTCCGTAGAAAGAGCTCTCACTGTCTTTTGTTAACTCTGAACACGGTATGCATGGAACTTTTATTTCAATAATTACTTAGTGTTAATAGGTGAGGGAAAAAATCACCTCTTTAATGCAATCAAGCTGAAAGTTCTACTCTTGGCTCCTGGGAGCAATTTTTTCAATCAGTTTATCTGTGCTCAGCCCAGAGTTACTTTGGTATGTATAGCAGCAGTAGCTGTAGGATCTGGTTTTATTTTTCAGAACTCCCCCTAGATTTAGGGAGGATTAATATTTTTCCATCAACAAATTAACTTGGAAGACGAAAAGACAAAAATAAGCCCAAGCCTCATAGAAGAAAATTATCAGACAATTTAACAATCTTACAAGCACCTCAGGATTCCTGCTGGAATAACACAGGAACCTTCCCAAACAAACTTTATTAGCTTGAGAGAGAAGAAAAAATGGCATTATTTTCAATGAAACAAACCCCCCTCTATTTTTCAACTGAAGACAGAAGAAGCTATAAATGTGCGGCTCTCTGAAGAAACACATCCCCGTTCCCCCGAGATGCTCTACCTAGCAGGCACACAGGTACAGCGCTCTCCCTCACCTCTGCTGAGCCTCTGACAGAAGAAAGGAATGTGAAGAGAGGCTGCTGGGACTGAGTAACCCCTGGGCAGATGCAGCACACGGGGTAGAGAAACGGTTTCAGCTCAAGAGAATCACAAGGGAAACGAAAATCTTTCATGCTTCCTCAAATACCAGAAAAAAAGGAACTAGAAATAAAAACAAAAGCAGCAACTTATCCAATTTTAGAACATTTTTTACACTCAAAATTTAGTTATGACATGCTGGTAAATGAAATCACACACGAAGCAGACTGAGCATGATTATTGTTCCATTTACTTGCGATAATGCTATAAATCCCTTGAGTATCCTAAATCCATAAACACACAAAATTAGGATTCACAGTACCAACACACCAGGCCAGGTGACAACCCTGTAGAGAGATGCTGTTCTGCGTAATGAGCATCAGACCAACTGACTAGATCGGATCCACCACGATCCAAGAGGGCAGAAAGCAGAGAAGAGACTGCTACCAGATAAACACGTTCACAGATTTGTGCACGATCATGAACCAAAACAATGGAAATCAACAGCTAGACATGTTCAAGAGAAGATGGAAAAGCCAAACTCAAATTATCATAGTATTTCTAGCAATACAAACCTGAAAGAGGTCATCAGAAATTCCTTTGACATGCTTTGTTCTACAACTGAAAACAGAAATCCAAGGACCACACGTAGAAAACAGCACTGTAACAGTGCTCCAAAGAGACACATACTCATGCATGAGTCTACAAAGGACATTTATATTACTGGCAACACTAGAGGGCTGCTTTAGAAATGAGTAATGGAGTCATAGAGGTCACTAAGAGTAGTAAAATTAGGTTTCTGGAGAAAAACAATTCCAACAGAATCTAAGTTCTCTGACTTTCCAGACCACTCTGATAAAAATTAATAAACAACTGTAGGTGAAAATATGGAGTATGATAAACATGGAAAAAATGTCACAACAAACCTGTTTCAAACACTGCCTTGAACGTAGAAGAGTCATTTTTTCCTGTTTTTTTGCCACACCCTCTCAGCACTACCTGCTGATATGCGCAGACTAATGCACACACGTTCTAGGGATGTGTACTCTACACACAATTATACAACTGAGTTAATAGTGTGAAGCATTAAAATGTCGCCCAGGCCCTTTCTTAGTGGTACCTTAAACTTTAATCCACTTTAACATGGTAAATATTCATATCACTGCTGTGAAAGGGGCCAACTACTCATTCTTTTACCTAAATCAACATTTTAGAGGGCTTAAAAAACAAGAGACCTGGTTATGCTTTATTTCGGTAAATCTTAATTATTATCACGGATATCTTTTTATAATTTTATTTATTTTTCCCCCAAAGCCCCAGTGGATAGTTGTATGTCATAGCTGCACATCCTTCTGGTTGCTGTATGTGGGACGCGGCCTCAGCATGGCCGGAGAAGCGGAGCATCGGTGCGTGCCCGGGATCCGAACCCGGGCCGCCAGCAGCAGAGCGCGCGCACTTAACTGCTAAGCCACGGGGCCAGCCCATGGATATCTTTTTATATATTCACACTTGACACACTGAATCTAAACTGTGAAAGCTACTAAAGTTAACTATTTAATGAGCTGTGAATTTTTTGGTAATAATTTAAAGGTGAGGCAACTAAGGAGACAGGACTATATATCAAGAGAAATTAAAGAAACAAAAAATCAGGAGAGAAGAAAGAAACAAAATAATATAAGATATCGAAAACAAAAGCTATCAGTTCATTTTTTCACCTATCAGATTGGCAGTAATCCTGAAGTTTGATAATAAATTTGATAATCTTGGCAAAGATATAGGGAACCAGATAGTCAAATACTGCTTGTGGGAAGATAACTGATACAGACTCTACTGAGAGAAATTTGGCAACGATTATCAAAATTATATATGTATATGTATATACACACACATATATGGATATCTCCATTGGTTCAGCAGTCCCACATTTGAGAATTTACCCAACAGACAGAGCTGCAAGTGTGCAAAATGATCTATGTATCAAATCATTTATTTTAGCATTCCTGGTAACAATACAACAGGAGCATCCTCAGATATCAGTCAGTAGAGGGGAAAAAAACTGTCAGTTCATCTTTAGGAGTTCTTATGTTTACCAACGGAGACTATAACTCCCAACTTGTTCCCCTATTGGTAAATTTTATTCTTTGAAGACTCAAATATTTTGCAAAATATCACCTAAAAGTCCACTAAACCAAACTGCAGTTCCTGCATGAATATCTAGATGCCAGATAACTAAATTGGAATTGCACTAGAGCTTTGTAAAAGACCTATGTTATATATGAAAACAGGATTCTGTTAAGAAGAATTTATAATGACACGGAAAACGTTAACAATTAAGTTTTACGATTAAGCTGAAAAAGGAGGTTACACAGCAGCATGTATTCAAATTGTACTTAAAAAAACTAATTTTTCATAGACTAAAGATGAATAAACATGTAAACAGTGATTAAACATTTGTTGGGTGAATAAAGGTGATTTTAATTTTGTTCTTAACTATCTGTGTTTTTTATAATGTCTGCAACAAACATTTGTAGTAAAAAAAATAAACAAACATTTGTAGTAAGAAAAATAAAAGGATGAAGTTTTTTAAGGTTATGGTCATTACTGCAGTTATTATTTTTAAAGTGAGGCAATATCTTTAAGTCATTGGGAAAAAAACCTGTCAACCTAGAATTCTTTACTCACTGAAAATATCTTTCAAAAATAAAGACTAAGCCAGACACACAAAAGCTGAAAGAATTCAGATCTACACCTGAAGAAATGTTAAAGAAGTCCTTCAAGCAGAAGGAAAATCATACCAGATGGAAACTTGGGACTAAACAAAGGAATGAAAAACACCAGAAATGATAACTATATGGATAAGCAAAAGAGGTCTTTCTTATTTTAATCTGTTTAAAAGACAATCAACTCTTTATAACAACGTATCATGGGGTTTATAACATAGGTAGAAGTAAAATGCACAACAGCAATAGCACAAAGGCAGGGAGGGGAGAAATAGAAGAATACTGTTATAAGATTCTTATACTATATTAAAGTTGTACAATATCACTTGAAGATAGACTGTAATAAGTTAAAGATGCATACTATAAACTCTAATGCAACCACTTAACACAGAATTATAGCTAAATAAGCCAACAAAAAAGATAAAATAGAATCACAAAAAATAACCAAAAGAAGGCAGAAAAAGAGGAAAAATGGAACAAAGAACAAACGGGATAAACAGGAACAAATGGGATAAATTTAATCCACCATATGCAATATGGTAGATTAAAACCAAAACATATTAATAATCACATTAACTGTAAATGATCTAAGCACTCCAATTAAAAGTCATAGATTGTCAGACTGGATAAAAAAGCAAAGACCCAACCATATGCCATCTATGAGAAATCCATTTTAAATATAAAGACACAAAATAGGTCCAAAATAAAAGGATGAAAAACAGATATACCACACTAACACCGAACAAAGAAACCTGGATTGGCTACACTAATATAGGAGAAAGTAGATTTCAGAGCAACTAATCTCAGCAGGGATAAAGAAGGTCATTTTGTAATGATAACTGGGTCATTTCATTAAAATAATGTAACAAGCCTAAACATTTACGCAATTAATAAAAGAACTTCAAGATGAAGCAAAAACTGATAGAACTGCCAGGAAAATAAGCAACTATAGTGAAAATAAGCAACTATAGTTGAAAACAGCAACACCACTCTCAATAATGGAACAAGGAGACAGAAAATCATTAAGAACATAGAAGACTTGAACAACACTA